ATAATCGGAGGCAGCGGTGCCGTGGTTGCTGTGCTCGGTGGCTCCATTCAAGCGTCTCCAGCGTGTTGCGGGTAGACCCCGGCATTGCGCCCCTTCCCGCCCTCCCCCGCCAGAAGAGCCGCTCCGTGCCGTTGTGGGGGGCCCTGCCGTTATTTCGCCAAGTTCTGTACAGATTACGGTGGCTGCGCTAGGCATTTTCTTAAAAGGAAAGATGGGGACAGACAGGAGTGGAAAAACCTTCTTGTGACAAGAAGCAGCTCAGGGAAACGCTAAAGAGAAAAAGTTTAAGGCTTGACTTTGCAAGGTGCTGCATCCTGGCTGACCTCGGTGAGAGCCGGGGCGACTCGGTGCCGAGGCTGAGCTCGGGGGTAGAACAAAGCGTGGACACGCACACCTCTGGTCCTGCGCTGGGGGCTTTTGCCTTCCCCTCCGCTTCTTGGTTAGAAGCAAGATACTTTTTGCCTTCGTCTATTTCTTGGCGGTTGCTGGGTCGTCCGAACACCAATAGTCTGACGACACTTCAGCATATAGTCACTGGAAAAGACGTAAAATATATTTTGAATAAAAGGGAAAGGCCTTACGGAAGTCTTTTGGCCAGTTAAATAGTTTTTTTCAAGAGATGACAGGAAGTAGAAATAGTGGCTTTTTGAAATATTTAAATCTCAGCTGTCCAAAGCACTGGAGAATATATCCACGCTTAAGGAGTTACAACTTGGGAGACTTAATTTTTGTGATGCTGGGGTACAGTGAAGTATTATCTTAAATGATCAGTTCTGAATTCTAATAGCTTATATCCATTGCTGTTATTCCCTTTAGATAATTGAAGATGCCTTGCACCTCAGAGATGTTGTTTCAGACCCTGTATACAAATTTGGTCAAATATGCTGAAGATTATTGGTTGGGAAGGGTCTCTTAAAGTGTATGAGGTGTATTTATGTGTGCTTAGTTATATGCGTTCATTTAATATTGGAGTGGACACCAGTAAAGTCACAAGATATTATCCTAGCACAGAAGCATACATGTAGGACTGTTTCTTCAGAGAAGAAAAAACTGTTCAGCAAACAAATGAGGATTTATGAGTGCAAGCAGTCAAGTGTTTTGTTTCATACAAACTCTAAACTTCTAAAATCAACAGAGTACTTTTGCAAATTCAGAGCAAAGCAGGAATAATCCCTTTCTCCTGATAAACTGTGAAAGACAAGCAGTCTTGGCATTCAGGACCATATGGCTTGACTCAGGGGCTCATGAGCTGTAGCCTGTGGAACAGCTTCTTGTCATGGTGGTGAAGCATCTGTCAGCCTTCAAGCAGTTATGCTTCCTGCTTTTTGGAGGCAGTGACAGACTCCTAGCTCTCCAAAGGATTGTTTCCTTCATTTTAAGGATTAGCAAACAAATGTGATACCAAACCATTAATCATTCTGAGGGCATCAGAGCAGGAGATACTTTGAGAAAGACTTTCCACTAAAACCATGAAGACCTATGTGCAAAGAGAGAGAGAGCAAGTGAAGCGGATACAAGAAAGAGGACATAAGTACATTGGGACACTCAGCACATTAAAGTAAATGACAGTCTTTACGCTCTCCTGTGTCCACTTTTGCCATTGTCTAGACCGGTAACTGGCATAGTGAAAAGAACAGGATTGGGAAGCCAGGAAAGTTAACATTTCATATAATAAAATATTCTGTGACAGACATAATACAGAAAGGGAGAACCACTACATCACTGAGTCCTTAGTACCTGGATATCGCTTCAGATAAATCAGGGATTTTGATGTTTGAAGAAATGTTACACGGACATAATATATAACTAGTGCAGCTGAAGGAGTAGCTGAGTCATACATCAGTGCAACAAGAGTGCTTAAAGAGCAGAGTCTTGCTGAATGTTAGACTAGAAGTGAGCAGGTAGGTCAGTTTATTTAAATCAGTCTTGACCTGGGAAACCACAGGAATTGCAAAAGCATGTTCCCCAACAGTGCCAGTCCTGGAAGGGTGGTTTCTGAAACTATACTGTTTGATAAATATATAACCTCCTGTTTTAAACATACCAGCACCTCCTGGGTATTTTAAAAAAAATTATAAAGTCTTTAAAAATGTGATTAAATATTTAGGATCCAGTCATACGAATCCTTTTTCAATGGGACTATTTCCATTAATTAATCTTCTTGAAGGACTGACTGTATTGAGAAGATCTGCAGGATTATATAATTATATATAAATATAAAAAGGCTCAGTAATTAAAACTATTATCAGAAGCGAGTTTATGTCATTTTGCATGCTCATATTACAGCAAATAAAATCACTGATGTCTGGACAGCCTTTTACATTTTTAATAAAACAAGATGAGTGCTGCTAGTGTGATACAATCTTGCAAAAACGGAGCAGATTTCTGATTTGCTTGTTCTTTGTTTGATTTGAAGACAATCTAAATAGGATTAAGTTGCTAAGAAATAAACTACAAGAAGTTACTAAGAAATATGCTGCATGGAGGGGTCACCAATGGGGCTAGCTCAGAAGGCTGCTGATGTTAAGGTATCACACATACTTGGTTCAGGCACTTAATCTTCAGTGGTGGGTTAGATGCACAACCTCTTAGAAATCTCAGTATTAGAAGTGTCTTAGATCTCAGCTGGGCTCTTTACCTCTGAATGTGCATGTTACTGCAGGTAGTTAAATGACCTTCTAAGGTTGTTCTATCCATAGTATCTTTGTGTCACTGAAATGGGAGCCTCTGTAAAAATTATTATGGAATGGTACCTGGAAAAAGAATTAGTACACAGATTGCCTGCTCCAGTCTCATATCAACATGCTAAATCAGCAACACAAAGCACAGAGCTGGTATCTTGGTGTGAGCTTGCCCAGTCGTTATTTTAGGGGAAATAGTGAGCTCTGATCTGCAATCTTTCTTGCTCATTCTGCAAAAGAATGAACTGGAAGCCACTTGGAGCTCACAATAGGTATAGATCTGCTGCTTATCAGATAGAAAAAGAGAACTGGCTGGAGCCGGAAGGATGTGCTGTTCACACTGAGGAATGGACTAAGGTCTCTTTCTTTTTTCCCCTGGTTTTGACTCTTAGGGGAGGCCAGTTTGCAAGTGCTGCAGCTGGAAAGAACATCCTGGAATAAAGTGTCATATGGAGAATAAACAGCAGATGACCTGAAAGACTCTAGGGTGGGGGAGCATTTCATAAGGCGTGTTTAGTGATCTTTTTTTTTTCTTTGCCTGCTTGTATTGTGCGCCTGTAAGTTTGAACTATGCAGCACTTGGCTTGGTAATTTAGACTGAGGCTGCTAACCCCTTCTGCTTCTGACCCAGTTCTGCCATCGCACTGAAATCTAGTTTCTCCTTTTGTGCACCACATGTCAGTTGTTCAGGTACAGTTCTGCAAGCTGACAGTACCATTCTCCAAGTTTTGTTATGTGACTTAATGGTATGCTGGCTCATGTAATCGCCATATTGTACGAAAGTTAAGAGTTGGCAAGATGCAGCCCTTGGCTTCGGGTGTGCAATGCTCAGTATGCAGTATGTAAACACAACACCCATTTATTTGAAGCAAGGCAGGAAAAATCTCCCTACGCAATTCCATTTGAGTGGTGTGTGAGCTGACAGATGAAAACGAAAGCGTTTGTTCTCTCCCTGGTCTTTGGTGTGCCAAACCTGAGGTTGGTCAGCCTTTTAAACACCCCGCAAATCTTCTTGGTTTTTGTTTTGTTTTGTTTTGTTTTCCTGTGCACTTGTGGAAAAAAGACATGGACCAATGTAAGGTGAGTGAAGAGGGGTAGCGCTCTTTATTTTTGTGGATTGGCCCATGTTTGCATTACGTACTGAGTCATATGTAAACCTGCAAAACCAACATTCATAAATATTACCGATGCTAAAATAACTGACTGCAAGGAGCATGTAAAATGTAGATTTTGCTGGATGGTTTTAGTTATTGACAAATATAAATAGTATCAGACATTATTAGTATGAGAGCGAAAATTGAAAATAGAGTTACAAACAGAAAAAACAAATATAATGTTAAGTATTTTACTTGATTATAGCTGGTAGCATGCATAATATCTGATGTCAATGAAAGTAGATAATCTAATGAAGATATTATTTCTACTGTATGTCTAAATAAAAGCCAGTTTAGGAGTTCAGATGAATGAGTACTTTGGATCACAATAACATAGGAAATAAATTATCCTCTAATTTCCTATTGTTATCTAATAACCACTGGGTGAATGGTTGGTTGTTGTTTCTGTTTAAGTAATGTTTTAATTATACAATGTAGATAGATGTGATAACCATTTTAAATCTGATCAAGATTTTTCTGCTTTATACATACTTTTGCGTTATCATTGTTGCATGGACTAGACTTAAGTTAGGAGCAAGGCTAGTTAGTTGGGAGCAAGGCTAGTTAAGTTAGTATGAGGTCTAAGATGTCACCGCAGGTGTTGCCTGAAGGAGGGCACTGTGGTACTTGCTGCTTTGCAGTCATACCTTGGAGCACACAGTTCTGCAACGTGGGTAAGTCCTGAGCTTCCAGTTATTCCATCACCTCTTGAACAAATGCTAGAAGTGAAACCAGGTGCTGCAGGCTGTGGGGACAGAGGGTGCGGGGGGGCAAGTGCTGGCTGCCCCCTGTAGGGCCAACTGTGCTCACTGACAGTGGTCATGGCTTCTGGAAGGCTCTCTCAAGCAGGTCTGCTCTAGACCCACCTGCTAGCCCCAGACCTTCATTGTTGTTGAAGAGCACTTGAAGGCATGCAGGAACTACAGCATTTGATTATTTTTCTTTTTCAGCATTTTTGCTGCAAAACCTGCTGGATGGAGAATATCAGCTTCAGGAATGACCCTCGAGGTCATATTTAGCCTAAACCTCAAGAGCTATATCTTCTCTCATCTGTCATTTGGCTCCTGTTTATAACTGCCATTCACGTGGTATTTCTTAACATTCCAGTGAAGAGTTTCTAGAAGTCAGGCTGGGTATATTGGCACTCCTCAACCTTCACTGGCTTCTTACTGGTTTTGGGCAGCAGAGTTGGGAGGTCAAAAAGAAGAGCGTGCTGGCAGCCTTGGCACCTGGGCAGAGGTGGATTGCACACTTCAGGTTTAGGCTGGACTGTCACAAGAGGATGAGTCTATAAACTACAGAGATTACCTCTGGGTTTGCAAACAGCCTTGATTCAATCCAGACTGAAAAAGACTAACCTAAAAGAATTTACCTGAGCATACTCACTGGAGTGAGAGAGACACATCCTTTCTTACGTAGGAACTTATGTCTCCAGGAAGGGTCTAACCATCCAGTCTGTCTTGTTGAAGCTGTTCTGCTTTGTATAAGAAATTTTGCATTATGCCAGAGGGAAGAAGAGAAAAAAAAATCAAGTCCAGACTCTGAATCTGAAGTATAACTTCAGTGTTGCTCCAAACATGAGCCAAAACTCCCCTGAGTTGAATCATACTTTAAAACCAGATTAACTGAGCTGCTGTGTTTATCTGTTCAATCTTGAGGGTGGCTGACACGTGAACAAAGCATGTAGGATATACTATATTTCAGGCCACAAATCCAAATCCACAGATTGTGAATCATGCCAACCTTTGAACCTCCTTTTAGAAAGATTTAGGCGCCTGCAAATCAGAGTCTGAAAACATCAGTCTGCCCATCCTATCTGTGTGTGTAGCTTGGTGCTTCCAAGCATGGCCATCCCATGTGACTGCCTAAACCCTCATCCAGTGTCTTATTCAAATGGCTTTCATTTGTTCTGCTGCCATCAGTTTGAGGGACATCAGTTCACTGACAGTTAAGGCCAAGGATAAGTGTAGTCCAGTTCGCTCTACCATCTCTTCTTTAGAAGTACCTTAAGAAGTTTTTAGAAGCACCCCAAATAAATCTTTATGAATACGTTAGGGATATGCAGTTTGTTGCATGACAGGACCTACATTCTTCATTTGCTCTGACTGGAATCTCTCTGCTTGACGTAGGCAGGATCACTTGTAGTGATAGTTTTCCAGTGTCTTTTCTACTAAATGAACAACACGATTTATATTTTTTTTCCTTGCAACTAATGAAAATTAGGAGGGAATCCCAGTATCTGACCACATTGAACCTGTGTCCACATAACGTACAGAGGAACACACACCATGAAAAAAAGCTGTACAGAATAAAAATACCCAGTATTCTTTCTCTGGATGCCAGCCTCTCTTTGCACATAAACTTGTGTGCAGTGAAGATCCTAAGTGTGGTGTGCAAGCCTTCTGCCCAAGAGATTTGAAAACCTGTATGTAATGTGGGCACAGCTGAGCCCTGGGAATGATCAGTTTCAGCCTTGATGTGTGCAGAAATACATGCCAACAGTGTGTATTTCCTTTACAGTAGAGACATAATCTGTATGTGAATTCACAACGTGCTTTATCATGAACGAAGTAAGGCAGAGGAGAGCACAACAGAACGTCAGAATAAAGGTTTATCTGAGTCCTGTACAGGATAAACTTAACCTGTTGTTGTCAAATGATTCTCTAGCTTTTTCTTTGTGTATTTTTGTTCTTTAGTGTGAAACTCAGAATTCAGGGACAGATACATTCCTCATTTTTTTGAGGAAGAACTTAATAAAGCTTAATCATTTTTTTTCAAACGGAATTCTGTGATGATATGTGACAGGTTTATATATCTTTTATTAATTTGGAAGTATGAGGAAAAAATATAAAATTTTCCTTGCTACCTTGTGCTTGCTTGGTAGCAGCAGACCAATATATGTCTTCCATTTATGTTTGCAGCATCATACATCATTATTGAATGGATTCTTCAGTCAGTTTAGTAACCCATGACCTCTAATTATGTTTGAAAAAAGTTATTCTGTCAGTATAAGTCAGACTGTAAAACTAAGTTGTGCATGTCCTGGCAATCTATTTCCATTCAGAACAGAAAATTAACTCTGCAAATCATACAGCAGCTCTTTTTGTAAGAGCTCTTTTTGTAAGAGCTGCTCCTGGACAAAGGGATGAACTTAACCATGTCTACAGCACATACTGAAAACATGGAATAATGGACTGATATACAAGTTCATTATTTTAAAGTGTGATTTTTGAACAGTGCCTGCAAATATGGAGGTTTTAAAGCGTGGAGGGAAGTTTCTTCCTCCATTTCATATTGACCCAAAATATTACTCTCTGTTTATGAAGATTTCATAATTGAATTTAAAATGGGAGTCGGATATCAAGGTGCTGACTTCTGTGGTCTAACTGAAGTAATGGACTGAGTAAGGCAGTGAGGAGGCAGACATGATACTTTAAAATTAATAATGTGCTGCATATATGCAAAATAATTCACAAAATGAAAAGAAATGCTTAGAAATTGAGGGAGCTTGAAATTTAAACATGCTAATGGTTTATTGTAAAGAAGTCCTAAGTTCCAGCCTTCTAATTTCCAGCCTCCATTTGCTCATTAAGTGAACTCAGCAAAATTTGTCTTTTGCATTAAATGGCAAGCAGACAATATTATGCATTATGTTTTAAACTGATGTAGATCTGAATGTCAGTTCTTCTAGAGATTTGTTTTTCTTTTACTACTTTGAAGCATGCAGGAATAGGAACATTAGTCAGCCAAATGAATTTAGGAAGCTTGTATAACACTGCTTGGCACCCTCTTTCATTTGGATTAAAAAATATGTTCCTGAATAAACAGAGCTTTTTTGTGGTTATTTTAAAAAGGAGGAAAAAAAATATATGTCCAATATTCATAATTGCTGTCTTTTTCAAATTAGTGTGGTTCTGCAACGTGTGGATTGCATTTCTATTCTAATAGAAAAAACTATCACTGCCATATTTGACAGCAGTTTAAATGTTTCTGATGTGTATTGCATTCCTTATTTTCAAGGAAATATCAACCTTATTTATAAACCATAAGTTTAAATACTGTCACTGAAGCTGCTTTGATCTTCTGCATTATAGTCCCTGGCAAAGAATGTGCTCTAGATTTGCCATGCATTCTCTAAATTCATGTCCTTTAAAAATTCTGACCATAATCATAGTCTGTTCCAATTTTTTTTCAGTATTTGTTCCTTTAATAGTGTAAAGCTGGGCAGTGAAAGCCCTCTTTTCGGGCTAGTAAATCCAGTTAAAACCTTGCTATTTTTAAAAATTAGACTCTATTCCCAAGCAGGGTGGTGTTCATAATCCCCCTTCTTCTTTCTTCTGCCGCAGGTGTGGGAAGATATTGTTCCCCTCCATGTTTGTGACTAAAATTTCTGGATGTTTTTTCTCAAGCCCACATCTAAAAATGATTGTTCATTCTTCAAGTTTCTTTCTCCTCTTCCCATTCAGACAGAAAGCTAGCAGTGCTACCCTCATTTCTCTGTGAACTTTTCCTGGTTTGGGTGCATTCGAGTCATCATCCTCACCTCTGACAATAAAACCTCAGCATTTCTGGCAGCCAAAATACTGAAGGTGTTTCTCACCATCCCGTTTCCCCCCACATAGTCTAAGCTTCATCTCTGTTGAATGTTTTCTACAATTTTTGTAGTAGTCTGTCCAGTGGCTATTTTTATTTCCCACAAACTTTCTGAGGCCCACTTCAAATATTAATCTTCTCAATAACCTGTTTTTACTGTTTTTGCCTTGTCTGTAAAAACTAAGCATCTCAGAATTAGAATGAATCCACTGTTCCGTGAAATACGTTGTTTGTTTAAATGGTGATACTTGTAAACTATTATTACAGTTATGAAGAGCCCTCTGAAATATTGGTCTGCTTTTCTAGAAGCAACAATACCTTTTCCTCTGACAT